ACAATAACACATGAATAAAACACAATAACACAAGAATAACACGGGAGAGAATATTCCCCCGTGTTACTGCGCCGTTTTTTCTCTTTCGGGAATATTTCCCGTGTTATTCAAGTGTTATTGTGTGTTATTCATGTGTTATTCATGTGTTATTGTGTTATTATAACACCAGGAATATTCCCAGGATACAATAACACATGAATAACACACAATAACACATGAATAACACGGGGAGGAATATTCCCCGTGTTACTGGGCCGTTTTATTTCTGCGTTGCGCGGGATATCGTGGCGTGATTTCGTTGGGTAAGCACTTTACTCTAATGCGTAATGTAATATTTTTTCCACTTTATGTACGCAAATATTGGCGCCATGGCGGATGGCGTTTTAGCGCCCACGCCGGTACATAACTCCTCCCTCCGCTACCCCTTCTCTCAGCCATTTCTCTTCGCGAACTTCTCCGCGGTCACCGTCTTCCTCCCATATTGGCCCGTCGCTTCCACGCAGCGTAGTTATTGCGTTCCGATGGCCTCCACGCACTGTAATAGCTCTCCTTCTCGTTATTTCTCTTCCCCAACGTCGAGCCCCAAGACTAGCCAGCAGCCATCATTACTCGTCTTTTCTGGTGCTGTGCTATCTTCATCCACAATTATGCTGATGTTTACCTTTTTTTGAATGAATTAAGTGGATAATTATTGTTGATTGAGTTCAAGCATTTATTGGACCAATCTCATAACTTTGAAAGGCTTTTATTTTATATTAAAAATGCTAATCATTGATTCCGGCTATACTGGATAATAAATATGTCCATCTGCTGGCTTTGTACGCATTTAGCTCTATAGGCGGAAGTGAATTTCTGTTTCCATGGAATTGAACAATAATTTTAGTGTAAATAAACTTGGCCCTATATCTGCTGCGCATTGTGATTGCCATGTGAGTTAATTGGAAACTTGGAAATGGGATATACCATAAGCTAGTCTCTGCCCCCATTTTACGAACTCTATTTTATGTGGAAGTTCTGGAGTCATCGTTAGCTTGCATTGCTTCATTAGAGTTTTTCTCAATACAGCACTGTTGTCATGTTTTAACCAATAGTTCCTTTTAGATTTCCAATATTCCAGTGGTATATGTAGGCTAGATTTGCTATATTAGATCAGCACCTGTTCTGCCATTTACATTATCATCATGTTTTTCCCAAATTTCCATCTGTCAGATCACTGTTTCTTGAGTCATTTTTTTGGGGGGCATTTACATGCATATCGTCCAATTCCCTTGTATTTATATAACTAACTCGTAAACTCTACTTTTTCCATTTATAACATTCAAATCTTTATTATCACATAAAAAATGCCACTATTTTAACTTTTAAAATGTAAATTGAACATTTTCATGCACAAATAATGTGGCATAAATTTATAAATTAAAGTTTAGGTGCTAGATATGTAAAAACATAGGAATTAAGTGGCATATATGTACATCTTCCTATTTTCTTTGAAAATTTCCTACCGAGCTTTACATTCATCTATCAAGGCACAGTTGTAGTTGAACTCAGCCTCTTACATTATACTGTTGAGATTTGTACCTAGTTTTGGAGTCCTAATTGTAAATAGATAATGTAGAAGAAGCGTGGATACTTATTTGTAAAATGTTTAAGACCCTATATAAGTTCAAGTGGTTAATGAATAAAACAAGTTTTTTGAGCAATTCTTTCCTTATGGTATCAAAGCCCTAGGCTTTCTTGCACGGAGTGGCGCGAAGAAGAAGGGTTCACGCGATAGAGATGAGGCTTTTGTTTGAGCATGAAGAAGATTGAGGCGCGAGGAAGACTTCGGCGCTGGGATGCGGTTCACACGAGGAAAACTTCAACGAACTTCGACGCTGGGACACAATTCATGCGAGGAAGACATCGACGTGGATAGATGGTTGCGGGTCGAGCGTGAAGGTTGCGATTTGATGCTGTATAGACGAAGCAAAGGGGAGAACAATAACACGGCTTTGGTACGAGGAGAAAGCAATGGAGCAGACTATTCAAACGACTTCTATTAGAGTATGCAGGTTGCAACTCGATGCATCAGAGCAGAAGTGAAAAGGAAAAATAGTAACAGGGCCTTCGGTGTGAGGAGAAAGTGGCGGAGAAGGAATTCACGGGTGATATGTGTCATCAAGACTTGATCCTTATGATCAAGGATGTCAAAAGACAGAAATAGTGCGATAAATAAAGGATTGAAACTTCCGGAGAAGATAGATCTTGAAGTTCTGAAAGTCTTAGTTGGACTTATACAGGGAAGCAGCGACTCGACGGGAGCCACAACCTCAACATATGCTTTGAAGAAGGTGAAGCTAGATCTCATTCATGTGGATCTGAAACTTGATGAAACAACCACGTATCTGAGTTGGTCGCGTCGGATTGATGCCACTTTAGTTTGGAGGAGACTAGAGGGATATCTGACGGGAATAAAAGCTGAGTTAGGTATGACAGGTGCTCGGGGGGAGACACGTAGGTGCTACAACTGTGGGGAAATGAGACACTAAAACCTGTCCAAAGCCACCAAAGGGGAGAGAGAGAGATGGATGTGGACAGTCCAGATGTCGTGACCGTAGCCATGGATGCCAAAGAGGTGGAAGAGGGGATTATCAGGCAAATTTGATGGTCGCGAAAGACGAAGGAGAGACCAGGGTGGTCTTTACTAATAAGGATCACGAGCTCCTTGAGATGTTAGAGAGGAAGCAAAGAACGACAAGTGATATGACAGGATGCATCCATCTTATCATCATTCAAGGGATTGTTATTTATGTTCACTTAGCCAAAGGTATCGTGATACATATGCTTTTGCCTTTATATCCATCACAAGAACACCATAATAGATAATATAATCTGGTGCATCTCGGCATGTGACAGGTAATGCTTGAGAGTTCGCATCCTATACTCATTTAGTAGTTACAAAGAATATTTAGACTGCTGATGGTACAACACAACCTGTGGTTAGTAAGGGTACAGTGAGGGGTATTAATTATATGAATTTGTCTAATGTTTTGATGCATCTTCCTTTTCAGTGGACCTTTTATCCATTAATTCTATTATTCTTCAACTAAAATGTATTGTTTCATTTAATATTCCTAAGGTGATCTTTTAAGAGAAGGGGACTAACCAAAGAATTGGGATTGCACGTGGCATAATGAACCCTGGTCCTTGGATAAGAGGAAATAGACTCAACTCTGACATCCATGATAGAGAGTGCTGAAGTAGGAGGATCAGGAGCAGTGTGGAGAAAGTGATGTTGCTACATCACAAACACATGAAACACTCTTCATTCAGTTTATTGAGTCATTTGTATTCGCCTCTGTATGAATAGATAAATAAGCAAAAGCTTGTGTGTGATGCTTGTGAGTTTAGTAAACATAGCAGGAAATAAATACTTATGTCTTTGATTTTGTGCATTCAGATGTATGAGAACCTTATTCTATAATTTTGATGAATGATTATAGATATTTTGTGACGTTCATTTATCATTTTCTCATGTTACTTGGCTATAGGAGCAAAAGTGACTTGTTTGCTTGCTTTAAAGACTTTCACAGGGTGATTCAAACTGAATACAGTGCAATAGTGAATGTATTGAGGTATGATAATGGGACAAAGTATATCTATAAGGAATTTGAGGAGTACTTGTCTGCCCAAGAAATACAAATTCAAAACCACATGTTCATACACACCTACACAAAATTGAGTAACAGAGAGAAAGAATAAACACCTTCTAGAGGTAGCCCGAAACATGATGATCTCGATGAATGTTCCAAAACACTTTTGGGTCAAGGAGTTTAAACAACTGCTCAATTTATCAACAGAATGCTCTCAAGTGTATTGAGTAGCATTCTCCTTGTGAATTGGTTAAAGGAGATAATGGCGGAATTTTTTCATTGAAGGTATTTGATTGTGTATGTTTTGTAAATGACAATAAATTATCAATGAGAAAGTTGGATCTCAGAGCTGTGAAGTGTGTTTTTGTGAGTTATTCCGCTACTCAGAAGGATATGTCTGTTGGAGCCCAATAGATGCGAGATTGTTTGTGAGTATTGATGTGACGTTTAAAGAATTTGAATCGTACTATTCCTTGGAGGTGATCTCACCCTTTGGTGATTTACCAGATACTGAAGATATAAGGCGAGAGGGGGAGAATAGTGATGGTGAGAGATTGATACATGTGGGAACGATATCTTCTTCCGTTATGTGGGAAAGATCTACGAAGGGCCATATAATGAAAAAAGTGAAGCTGAGGAAGAGCCGAACGATGAGGAAAATGAGTCTGAAGGTGGTGGGACTCAAGATCATGGGGAGTTGCGAGTGTATACAAAGAGGAGATAGAATGAGGGAACAATGCCGGATGTGCCATCAAATCCCTTGTCCTAGTCTACCTCGACTCTTGATACACTTGTACCATCCACCTCAAAATTAGATTACACAGGTGATGTGATTCTTCTCATTCTCCTCCTACTCCCATAACTTTAAGGACCTCTCGTAATAATGTTGGCCATTCTTTTGATTGTTATTCTCTTTATCATTTTGGTTCTCACATGATATTGCTCATTTTGTCTCATACTTTAATGTATCACCTTATACGAAGCATTCATTACATCTTTAGACACTCTCTATACCCAAGTGCTGGCAGGTAGCTAAGAAGGTTTCAAAGTGGAAGGCTGTCATGCTGGAGGAACTTAATGCTCTTGAGAAGAATATGATGTGGGATCTCGCATTGCTACCAATAGAGAAAATGGTAGTGGTGTAAATGAGTCTTTAAATTCCTCAGAAGGAAAAATTAATCGCTATAAAACACAGTTGGTGGCTAAAGAGTATAGTCAGATGTATGAAATTGACTATCATAAGACATTTGCATCAGTTGAAAAGATAAGCACGATTAAGAATCTCATTTCTCTGGATGTGGATGGAGGTTACACCAACTGAATGTGAAGAATGCATTTATTCATGGGGATCAACTGGAAGAGGTGTACATGGAGATCCCCCCAGGCTTTAGTACAGACCAAAATGTGGGCAAGGTATGTAGACTGAGAAAGTCACAGTACAGTTTGAAATAGTCTTCTCGAGCTTGGTTTGACATGTTCAAGAGAGAAATGGTGGGCTTCGACTATAACCAGATTAATGCCGACCACACATTGTTTGCTTGATGAAACAGTGGTCACACCACTATACTTGTCATGTATGTGGTTGTTATGACAGTCACTGATGATGATGAGGGAGAGATTGCGCTGCTAAATACAAGATTTCACAAACAGTTTGAGATGAAGGACTTGTGACAAATTAGATACTTCATTGGGATTGAGGTGCTTCGTGGAGTAGAGGGGAATGCTCTATCTTAGATGACATATGCGCTAGAATTGCTCATAGAGCCAAGAATGTTGGGATGCAAGCTTATTGTTTCACCAATTGATCATAAGTGAAAGTTGAGCGCAGAGGTAGGTGAGTTAGTTGATCGGCAAAGATACCAGAGGTTGATAGATTGTCTCATCTATCTGAATCATACTCGTCCCGACATATCATTTGCAGTAAGCGTGGTGAGTCGCGACATGCATGATCTGAGGAAGGGCCACATGGATATGTGTATCAGATTCCGAGGTACCTGAAAAGTGCACCAAAGAAGGGGTTGATCTTCAAGAAGAATGAACATCTAGGCATTGAGGGTTATTGTGAATCTGACTGGGCGAGTTGTGTTGATGACAGGATGTTGATACGCCTAAAAAAGGTTCAATTTTTCATGTGCTTTCAATGCCTATATTTGATAATTTTCAATGATATTGCATTTTAAATGAGGGTATTTTGTATATTTTTGATTTTAGGCACAAGAAATGGAGTTCTGGAGAAAAAGAAGCAAAAACTGTGCAATTTGGAGCAAAAAAGAAAATTTATCCTGACACATTTCGATATATCTTTCTATGCTTAATATCTTTTACACTTCTCATCTTTTACACTTCTCACATTACACTTCTCACATATTTTTGAATGAAATTACACTTTAAAGAAATGTTGTTTTTATACTTATTTTGTAGGCTTGTCTGTTAGGAACGAATCGCAACTGAAACGGAGCGAAACAGAGCTGAAACGGAGCTGAACGGAGTGAAACGGTAGAGCTGCTGCAGACTAGCGCCTGAATTCAAAAAATGACAAAAATATGGTGCCGACAGGGTCCAGAACGGCGCCGACGACACCTGAGACAACTTGGACGCGATTTTGGGCGGTTATGGCCGAGATTCAATGTATTTGGACAATTTTTGGAAGGTTACTTGAGACATCTCTTTGGAAATTCACCCCTACGCTATAATAAAGTGATTTTATGTCAGAAAAAGGTGGTGTGTGAGTAGAAAAATGTGGAGAATGTTTATAGATCTTAGAGTAGGAGTATAAATGTAGATTTCTACCTTTTTATAGAGATTGGAGAGGGGATTTTGAGAGAATATGTAAGGAGATGTACTAGTATTGTATGGATCAGCGGGAAATTTTGTGAGAGAGATTTTCATCTTTTTTTTAAGGGAAAAAAACTAAGTATTGTTTTCTTCATTATCTTATGATTTTGTAAACACTTATCTAGTGGATTTGCTTTGATGTAATGAAGTTTTTCGTTGTGTTTTCTTCGTGCTTTGTGATGTGTTTCTCTTACTCTTTCTTCTTTTTTGGAAATAGTGACATGAGAAGATTATGCCGTATTTTCCAATTACTTTTTTTTTGCAATGAGTAGGATTCATGTTTAGGATATTGGGATGCATGCTTGAAAAAGTTTTAATTATAAATATAATGATTTTTACTTGCACTTCCTTTACCTTACAATAAGGTCCCGTTGTAGTGTTAAAATTCGTTGTAATTGCATTAAGACCCGAGAGGGCGGTGTAATTATCAACAAAGTGGAACCACATTCAAATTTCATGGATGGTGAAGTTCATGGGGGTTGAGTGCAAATAAATAGGGAAATATATATATTACTGGGCAAAGAATTTGAGATTCTAGGGTTACAGACTAAAATCCTCAATTTGGTCTTAGTGTTTAAGAACTAAAACGAGAGTTAGCCTTCAGGGGAAGGGAAGTGGGAGCTCTGGAGTGAGAGTCAGTATCTTCCCAGCCTAACCACGGATTTAGAGACTAAACCTAAGATTAGCCAACAATTCTTTATAACACTTGACTGAGGGTATAAAATTAAAATTATTCCTATTTGACACATATAATGTTTAATGTACCTCATTCCTTTATGTTATCCAATTCACTACATAAGAATAGTAGTTTTTAACATCTTAAAATTCTCTGAACTAATTCATTCAAAAATGGTTATCTTTAGAATTAATATAATATTTTAATATTTTCATTTAGGAATAGTTATTAGTTGTTTTAAACTTAAGTCTTATATTTAGGAGTACTTGTTAGAAAATTCACTTAAATCGATCTTCCAAACTAAGTACTAATAACAGACTAGAATTTGACTCAGGATCTCTTACCTTGCTTCATCGTGGGATCGATACTGGGTTTTTAAGGAAAACCCTATATTATTTGAAGCGATAGTATGTGAATTAATTTATATATTTTATATAACATTTAAATTTTTCACATTAAATACTTAATATAAATTGGGTCAAGTTTTTGACCATATTTTGGAAAGCTAAATTACTGCGTAACTTCGGGTCGGGTCAAGTTTTTGACACCATTTCAGGGGAATTAAATTAATACTAAACACATAGAAAAACAACACACACTAAGTGCGCGTTGAATTTTTTGCCGCCGTTGCCGGGGATTAAAATCTTTAAGTAGCGGTGTCAACTTATTAAATACTTGCATATAAAAAATTGCATCAGATGTCCACATTTGGATACTACATGTTTTTAGGGGGCAACGTGGTCTCCTGGAAGAGTAATAAATAGTCGGTATCAGAGGGGTCAACAACAAAGACAGAATATAGGGCCATGACCTTAGGAGTTGCTTTAATGATGTGACTGAGAACCTTCGACAACAAGTCAGCAATTCATATTGCCGACAACCCGGTGCAACATGATAGAACCAAACATGTGGAGATTGATAGTTTCTTCATTTAGGAAAAGTTAAATAATGGACTGTTGGAGCTACATCATGTAGCCACTAGAGAGCAAGTCGCCGACTGTCCGCAAAAGGACTTAGTTTATTAGATTTGTCTAAATTATGTGTCAAGATGAGTTTAGCGGATATCTTTTGTCCATTTTAAGGGGGAGGGTTGAGATTTGTATCTTGTTTTAGAATCCTAATTATAAATAGGAAATATAGAAGTCTAGGTACTTATTTGTAAAATGTGTAAGGCCCTATATAAGCCCAAGTGATTAATGAATAGAACAAGTTTAGAACAAGTTTTTTAGAACAAGTTTTTTGAGCAATTCTTTCTATGTCTTCTCTATTTTGTTTTAATCACACATGCTTTGAGTTTTTTTTGGCTATTTGTAGTCTCATTCTGTTCTAACATATTAAGGATATTTTCTTAGTAGTTGAAAGTATGAAGATCTTTTATGAAACCTTGCAACATCTTGGATAGCCATCTAAAAACTCAAACAAGTACACCCACAGAAAAGAATTATATAAACATCTTTTATAATCATATAGCTAGTGATTATTTCTGAATTGTTGGGATTATTGTGATATGACAACTTGGGTCTTTGCATGGCAATGCATTTAGTCCAGATGGTTTGAGTTTCTTGCTGATGCTTTAGTCTTTTGCTGAGTTTGCATAAATGAAGATTATACTTTTTGAAGATTCCCATTAACTTTTGCAAATTCACTAAAATCCATAGAAATCTATTATTTAACTTTAAATTCTATAGGTGGAACTGCATTTAACGGCGTGGCAGAAGAGCTGAAGAAAGTTACAACTCGAGTTTCGCATGTTCTTCCTATTTCGGATGATGGGGGGAGTACAGCTGAGATTGTACGAGTTGTTGGTAAATTATATTATTTTATAATGGACTCAAGGAGTTATTAGATTGTTTGGAGTTTTTGGTTTAGTGGTTCCTTTTCCACAAATGTAAAATAAAATAATATGTTCCTCATAGGTGGACCAGCTGTAGGGGATATAAGATCAAGATGTCTGAGATTGTCTGACGAAAGCACTTCTGAAGCTATTGCTGTTAGAAGACTGCTTGGACACAGATTACCTCTCGATGCATCAGACGCTAAATCTGAGTGGTAATTGTGAATTGTTATGTACTGAGTCACAGAAAATCGTATAATTTGTTTGTACATATCAGTTTCTATTGCTTATTTTTTCTTAATGGAGATTTTTTTATTTTTTAAAGAAATATTAGGTAAAATAACTTCCTATATCATATCTCAGCCATTCATGGAACAATTTTTATATGTATGTATGTATCAATTTTGAAGTATGGAGTAACTAATTCTTCCATAGCTTCCACTCCATCTCAAACTTTGAATAAGTTTTAACTTACCTAAAAATTGGTGTTGTTATGAGAAGTTGTTAAATGTTGTCTTTTGGCTACTTCATATCTAAGCCATTTAAAAGTTATGATAGATGGTAAAAGATGAAAGGATAAGTGGGTTTATTTTTTCTGAAGTGCTCTCTCTCTCTCCCTCTCCATTTATATGTGTGTGTCTGTGTGTGTCTATATATATCTACATACTTTGAATGTCATATGCGGAGTCCTCTTAAGTTTTTTTCTTATTTTTATCAGGGTTGTATCAAAGTCATCCCATTATGATTAATGATTGAAGTTTTTCAATCACATGCGATCAAAATGTGCTGTATTGATAATTCTCGATTAGTTCTGTCATTCATTTGAATTTCAGTTCTGTGCATATTAAAGTGTTTGTAATTTATGAAAATTTATAGGTATCAAATTGTTGAAGGCGAGCATTTCTTATGGAATGGTGTTTCCCGTCCTTATGGGGAAACAATTCGTGCATTTTTAGCTTACTTTCAAAATCAGGTAAATTACTGGACGTGAAAATATCTTATTTATACCTTCCACGTGGATATGTTTACTGTTAATACGTCTTAACTTCGTCAATTTTTCTTGTTTATTACCTATGTTTGCATGGAAAGCATTTACCCTAAAGTTTCAATCACACTTGTTTTGCTACTTGAAAACTTCTTTGATTTTCATGCACATATTTTCTTGTACGATTCATTATTTTGATTTGCTTTTGTTCATGATTTTGTTGTGTTTCTTTCCACTTTTTGTCCCTTTTGTTATATTATAGTGAAATTCTATATGAGCACCACTTAAATTTCAGTGTTTTGTATAGCAGTAAATGCTTTTTGGTAAAATTCTACACCACATTATTTCAAGATAAATTTGTTTCTGAGATATAATGATGTTAATATATTCAAGCGTAGGTATATTAGTGGCTACCATCGTTATGTTTTTGATTTGCTTGATTATTATGATTTTAAGTTGCTATATATTTGAAAAGCCTAGATATGCTTGAGAAAAATAACATTTATATATTCATGTAAATTGTGAAACACACTGGTTTCACAGTCTCAATCAGCTCTCTCTGGTAAATTAGAGGTATAACAAAGGAGGATGACTTAGTTCAACTCAATTCCCATAAGCACTCATCCTGATTTGCACAAAGCAAGACTAATTGAGTCGGGGATTGGTTTCACTAAACTATGACAAGCCGTTACTTACAGTTTAATTTATTCAATAATCATTCATATCAAAATACACATGAAATTATGTAGAAATAATTTTCAAACAATATATAGAGCTGCTAAATACTTAAATATAAAAACGTACATATCCCAAAAATAGTTAAAAAAATCATTTAAAATTTTTACATTCAAAAGATGCACAAAAAGGTAATTCACATGGCTAAATGCCTTCATATTTCTCACCCTTATGAAAAGTAACAACATAATATTGGGTAAGTTTTAGGTTCCGTGAAATAATCAATACTAAAATAATGTTCAATAGATATGAAATAAACATGTATGCTAGTTAGTGGCTAGTATAAGTAACAACAAGAACAATAATAAATATATTTAAATACATACAAGTAAAAGAATCATGAAGTAAATATAGTATAAGAAATTGTAGCCAATAATAATCAAACTGATACTGACAATGATTTCAATCAGTTAATTATGCAAAAAATCTGTTTGTCTTTCTTTACTTATACCTTCATTATTATTGATAATTTTCTTGCCTAAAGAATGTCATTTTGTATTTGAATAAACTTTGACCTTTTTTTTTTTTTGGGTATTCATTTGGGTATTCATTTTACCTGCTCAGTATTATAACAGCTATTAAAGGTTGGTCGTCTCTAATATAACACTTAACAATGACTCCCTGATACTAAATTATCTATTCTAATCTCAATATCAAAAGTCGAGAATTCGATTTTTTTTCTATTTGGGCTCATTTTATCAGAACTTCTATCTTTCCTACACAGGTCTTCTGTATCTGTTTATTTATCATAACACATATGAAATTCTCTTTATTATTTTACCGTTATAATTATTTTTCATATGCAATTACTGTTTATCTGAATATTCTTGCAAGTAAATTATTTATTTAACTTATGTATGAGTACAATAGGGTCAGTAAAATTAATAACTTATATTTAAACTTACTCTTTTATGAAATATACATTTATTCAACGATATTAAATAATTTTAACTGCCAATTTCTGATACCTAATACATAATAAATGAATATGTAAATAGACTGATAATTAATGATCATAAATAACATTTTTGTTACTTAATATGACAATTGCTTATTTCACCCAGGTCGTTGGGTCGGATGCATAATGAGTTTATTATCTAAGCTCTTCTCGAGCTCACCATCTTGCATAGATGACCTAAAAAGTCATAGTTTTCTATAAATATTTAGGAAGTTCTTGATTTAAATCTTAATCCAATACATTAATAATCTTAAATAGATATTCCAACCTCAAATGGATTTCCCTATATTTGAATACATAGTTTTTATACTCTTCTAATCACTTGATTTTCAAGCTTACTTTCAAAAATCTGCCCTAAAAACTTCAAGTTTGACAAGCTAAAAATATAGAAAAATTGATATATAAATGGAATATTAATATATTTTTAAAAATTTTTGTTTTCAGGCATAAATATGATGACTTTTAGGGCATCCTCAATTCCCTGTAATTGGCCTAATTATTTATCAAAATTATTTTTATTAAATTCTATAATTTATTTTGATCAAATCGACACACACACACACACATGAATCATTAATATATTTATTTTTCTAAAAATAATATATTAACTTAATTAAATTTAATATATTCTTATTATTAACTTAATAAATTTATTGTTTTTAAATTCTCTGCAGCCATCCCACTAATCTTTTCATGCAGTGGTTCGATGAATTTTAAAGGCTGTGATTGATTTAATTACAGAAAATTACATATATAAAGATATTTAAGACAACCTATCTTTCAATTTCCTTCGGTTTTCTCTTCATTTCTGCGATGGGGCTTTGTAGCTTGGATGTAGACGGATTGCTGGATGGGAAACAGAGGAAAACCAAAGCTTATATATATATAATATGATAATCAAATTTAGTGAGTTAGATACCGGTCAGAAAAATTAGGGACTCATTTGAAATTTTTTTTATAAAACTAGAGGATTTAAATATTTGTTCCGGGACATATGAGTATTTTTCCTTAAAACTTAAGTATCATTTAGGAAAAAGAATGCATCGCTCGGGAAATGCTTGTTTGTGATTAGACCTCATTTTCGGTGAGGTCTAATTCTTTCTCCTAGAGCCTAGGATCTAGCCTTAGGACTTTCCTATTGATTATCCTAGAGGATTTGTGATGGGACCCACTCTTTTAGAAACTTAAATTACCTCCTGACTCTTTTTGTGAGGCCTCATATGAGTAGTCCCAAGAACTCGACTCTTAGTTGTAAGGGCTAAGGACTAGCATGTGGAGGCCTAAAGAGAGTTTCCATAGGGTTTAAAAGCCCAAGAAATCCATTATTATTTCAGAGACAAAACGAAACACTAGGATAGTTGGAAAGTCACCAGAGTTTTCCTTGTATCTGTGACCTCCCCTATTTTTCGCTCCTTCAGACTCTTAAAATAACTGTTCCTTTTTTTAGCTATTGCCTTTTGACTTTTCTATGTCTAATCTTGGAAATCTAAATTTTGAAAATCTTGAAGACAGAACCACTGATCTTAATCGAGAGCTTTCTTAAGTGACTTCGGTCATTTAAGATGTAATTAACTATAGGGACTTGCCTTTATAAGTAAATAAGAACCCAGGTAAAATGATTCTTATCTAATCTTCAATATTAGGTAGGAGAACTTGTCAGTCACATATAAAAAGTTTGCAGACCAAAATCATATATTTTTTACTTTATATAATCAATCCAGCTGTCAAGTAATATGCTTACCTTCCGAGGTAATGTATCACTTATGGTGTTGCACTCGGTTACTTAAACTATTAAATATATGAGATATATTCGGCCTTTTTTTTCAAAATTAAAATATTACTTTTCAAATATCGAACTACTATATATATTAAATTTAAATTAAGTCATTTTTAAAGTTCCGACCGACAGATATATGGCCAAAGAATGAAATTTTAGCAATGACATGCAATATAATTGTTTTTTATGGCTACAAGAATATACCAACTTTATGCAATTACATGGCTTATTCATTGATGATGATACAACATTAATCCCTTCATCTTAGAACTATGAATGGACAAACATCACCATTTAACCTTATTCCAACTATTTGAGGATGGGTAAACAACAAAAACTACATAATTAATTTTTGAGATCTTAAATTTGTTACAGGTAAGATGGTCATAAGAAATTTGTTATGGATAGAAGGCATATGCTGAATTTCTTGATCAAACAAAACTACCAAGGATTTCCTTTGCATTTTACGAGGAATCAAGTAATAAATGTTATAGTATACCTAAAATTAACCGAAGGTACTTGTTAATCTAAACAAATTTGTTGCATGGTGAAGTCACCATTTAATGTACTTGGCGTTTTATTTTCTTCTTTACTTCTTTTTCAACCTTTTTATGATATACAATGCCTTTAAACTCTGCTTCCACATGTGCTTGTTCACAAGCTCATTCCTCACTATGCACTAATTGTAAGCAACACAAGTTTTAGGTTGATTTTATGAATATTTCTCTTTTTGTTTTTTTTGCTGTGTGCTTGATCTGTATTAATTTTTTAAATGAATAAATCACTTTTAGAATGGATTGATACTCAATTTATCATTCCCTATTATATTGGGTTAAACCCCAAAATGGTCCCCCGAATATTTGGGTGCGACCAATTTAGTCCCAGAATTTTACATTGCTCCAATTTAACCCCCACCTTTTAATAATTAATCCTAAATAGACCTTCAAGGACTAAATTGAGATCAAATTTGTATAGTTGAGGGACTGAATTGCAACCATTTTTGTGTCACGGTTTCTTACATTGATCAATTGTGATCAATTTTTATGGACTAAACGACTAACTTGAACTACTTCAAAATTATGGGACTAAATTGGTCACAAAGGAGTAATGAGGGGACCATTTTGGGATTCATTCTTTATTACATATGTTGTGAAGATCAAATCATTCTATTTGATGAAGAGAATGATGAAGATTGGCAATTTCATTGCTAGCTGCTCATAATTTTTGTGGCTTGCCCAGTAAAAATGGGTCACAAATTATGTGATTAAAATAATATTTCTAAGCGCCTGAATTTACCCTTGATATGCTCTAGAATGTTCTAATAACTTCAACTAGATATTCTCGGAACAAATGTTGAGGTTGATTGCATGGACGCCTATCTTCTCTATTTTCATGCACGGTTTGTGTGTATGAAGTCACGAGTGTTATTTCTTCTATACTTTTTCACCGATAATGCTTTCATTAACTCAATACAACTGTCCTGCAGATTCTTCGACGTGCGAGTGATTCTTTTTGTTTCAGCAATGGCAGGTGATATTTTCTAGCTCTCACTTTATATCAATTAATTGTTGTTGCATTTGTTTTATCTTCACATGGTGTTTGCATGGCGAACTCTGCTTTTTCAGTTTTGTTTTTGTTTGTTTTTGCTTGATAAGATATTCTTTATCTGCAACTGTTTATGCTAACTTAGTTCGTAATCTTCTGCATGATAAAAATTGCCATCATAAATTTTCATTGAATTCTAATGACCATGTAATTTAATCTGCAGCATTGGAAATTTCTTCTTTGCTGGGGCTCGCTTATTCTTTCAGTCTATGGATGCTGCTATTTTTTTGTTCTCACGCGTTTCACAAATTCCGAGTGAAAGTTTTGTTTTACCAGTGATTTGCACGAATGATCGCCTCACTCTGGGATGCGAATTATGGGTACATTCTTTTTAATTTTTTTAATATATACCTTTTTTTTATAAATTTATTAAAATTGTGAAAGGACGTTCAAACTAATATCCTATTAAAAATTTTTGATGCCTTTGAATTTGAATATATATGAATGCCTTGACTGGTTTCCTTTTTTTTATTTTGAGTAATTTTGTTCGCATAGTGATCAGTGCTATTTTTTTGCTAATATTTTGTATGCTTAATGTCTTATGTGCATGCGTTGTTTATAGAGGAAATTTTCATTTCAAATGTTTTACTTAAATTTAGTTATCTTTTAGTTGACCCTTTTTTTATTTAAGATATTGATGCAGTTAGCATGATCAGTAGGCATATCCTTAACTATTTGGGGTCAGCTTATTGAATCCTTATTTTTTTATTTGTCGTCTTTAAAGTACAAAATTTATAGAAAATTTTGTAAGTTCTTAAAGTCTAAATGGTATTGCTCATCAAAGCTTCTATTTTAGTACCTATCAACAAAATGATATTTCTGAAAGAAAAAAAATTATTTTTTAAGAATTAGGTAGATTTATTATATTCACTGCCATGGCCCAAATTTATTTTAAGCAAGATATATTAACTAGATAATTGTATAAGTACAAATGGTATTTACCAAAAAATAGTAGGGCAGAAAGAAAAATATAAGAAAGGAAAAAATACGAAGTAAGAAGTATTCAATTCAAGCTTGAAGCCTCCTAGAAAAAGGCTAGTGAGGTTGTTTTTCTTGTTGATGTTTGCCCTGTTGGAATAAATGAAATGAAATATTTTATTCACCAGAGAGTTGCACTTTGAATGCTCAAATTAGAATAAAAAATATTATGTGATAAATAATTGTTATTTTGTTCACAAATAGGATAATGTTGAGGTTTTTCGAGAACTTGCAAAGTATTTTCTGTAATAATATCTTTAGTTGGTGAAGTTACGATGTTATTGGTGGAAATGAATTCAAACAGGAGTGACAAAAGGCTCCTCTTTGCAATGAGCTCAATAAAATACACCCGTCAGCTGTAATTCAGACATGAATATTCGAATTATTTTTATGTTAGGATGATTGATGGAGAATTTTCCAATAAATGAGAACATGAGACACCAAGCTAACAGTTAAATGTCCTCACTGGAAAAGAGGTGATATCTGGAAAAGATGAAGGTTATTTATGTTGTTCAGTTGCTCAATTTTGGTGAAAGAAAAACCATGAATATTTTAGTGGAGAGAGAAAAACATCCGCATCATTTGAACTAGGAAAAATATTCACAAATGAGCATGGAGGTTGAGGTGGAGGAGGCTCAACCACCTTGGAGGAAGAAAGAGGAGCTTTAAAAAGTTAGGGGCCTCCCGGAAGGGTGACATTCTCATCACGGGGTGGACCAAAACACGTGAGAATTCATTACAGAAGAAGGTGGGATTTGAAAAGACTATGAATAAGCAGTGTAGAAGATCCCTTTACAACGATTAACATCAGAGCATGAGCATTACCATGCTACAAGAAGAGCAAAAATCCACTGCCAGAGAGAGAGCAGAAGAGGAGTACACGATGAGGAATGCTTTGCCAGAGGGACTATGAGCATATGAGATATCAATGCCACCTTTTGATTTCAACGTTAAAGATAACCCATAGACTAGACAATATAAAGCAATAGAGCCTTCATTAAGTGTGAACGTGCAAGTCTCCAAAAATGAGAATAGGTGCAAAAACAGTAGTTTACACGTACAGATTGCGCCCATAGAAATCGAAAGCAAAAAGACAGTGCAAGACACCGGGCAAAAGCAGACCATAGATGCCGCATGAGATGGAGATGGACATTGTTCAATGATTGTATTTTCTTTCCTTCGACATTGAAGGTTTCAGGATAAGGCAGCTTCACATCTTCCATCAGGGTGATGAATACAGTCTGGGCATAGCACTGTTGAATAATCGTGACTTCCTTGAGTCTTCATTGTCGAAGGTTTTAGGATTAGAGCAAGATCACATCTTCTCTCCCACCGACACCAAAAATTTCTTTTGGGTAATGTTGTTTTTATTATGGTTGTGCATTAATTAGTCAAAGACATAGTCAAATCAAACCTGGGTATTTTGGTTAATTTAGTTCAGTTTTATAAATTAAAAATCAGTCTTTGATTAAACCTTTTTTAATTATTCATTTTTCAGTCAATGGTTTAGTTTTGGCCTTAAAAAAATGAATCTTAGTGATAGCTGAAATGGACCTTTCAAGTTGTAAGAGTGAAAAGCTTGCAGACTAGCCTGGAGTGGCCTAAGCATGAGTATTTTGGGTGAAAGAATATATCACTTCTCCGCAGTTTCATCTTTAGTATATCTGTTGAAACATAAAGCAGTGAGCTGCCAAAGTGGCCAGTTGGAGTTTGGGGATCGACAAATGTGATGACCAATGAAAGAGTGCCTCTCGAAAGATGCATTTTTTTTAACTCCAAGCAACATTGAAGAATGCTACAGCCTACATTTTCTATTTCTTCCAAGGCCAAGGTTAGAGTTTTTAGGGCTTTGGCATTTCACCTGGGAATCAATCGGATGAGGAGAAGAATGTATGTTGGTTGGGTGTTTTGGTGTAGCATTTCAAACCTATAGGGAAGCCAAGTTCTTTTTCCATTTTTCAAAGATTTATTAATGGTTTCTTGGAAGTTATTCTCTGATAGATTTGGCAATGTATGCCGTTTGATTTCTTCTAAAATTAGCCTACAACATTTTCTTTTAGGTCATGTTATTATTCCTCTGGTAAAAGAATTTCCTAGATTTCGTATTCTTTCTCTCTTATTATGGGTCACTTATGCCCTCACCATAATTTTCTATCTTCTCTAAGAAAGATTTCATCTTTGGTTCTGTCTTTTTAGGAAACTACGAGTTCTCTCATAGTCTGATAATACAGAAATAGACCTAACTAAACTAAAAAAAAGGTTTCAACAATAGTTTATTGAATTGAACCAAAAAGTCAAGTTTCCGTTTGGTTATTATTGAAATTTGGCCAGTTTAGCTTTTGGTTATTGGATCAAAAAGCAATTAGTTAATTTTTATCATCAATCAAATAATCCAAATGAATTGAATGTATTCCCCCCAATTCTTATATCTTGCTACCATATGAATTGGATGCCAACAATTGTTCTCCACTAGAAGTTTTTAAAAGTGCTTTTCTTACACTTTTATACTATCATGTGTGCCTCAAAGGTTTTTAGGGTTTATCACCTTTATCCACAATGATGTATTTGTCAGAAACATGTTTGATCCCGCACACTTAATACTTTTTTTTGGTATAATACAACAACAACAACAACAACAAAAACCTTAATCCCACTACGTGGGGTCGGCTACATGAATCCTTTTTCTCCATTGCGTCCTATTTAGTGTCATATTTTCATTTAGTTTTAATAAATTAAAATCTTTTTTTATACAATAAGCCCAAGTCTTCCTAGATCTACCTTTGCCTTTCTTAACATAAGTCGAATCTAAAACATTACTCTCTTCATCGGATCATCAGATGGTCGACGTTTAATATGATCAAATCATCTAAGACGACTCTCTCTAATTTTGTCCGTCACTGGAGCCACCAACCCTATCACGGATATATTCATTTCGCATTTTGTCTCTAAGTGTAAAGCCACTCATCCACCTAATCATTCTCATCTCGGCAACACTTAACTTATTATTATGATTCTCTTTTAAAGGTCAGCATTCAATGCCATAGAGCATTGCAGGTCTCACCACCCTCTTATAAAATTTTCCTTTCAGTCTAAGCGGTACTTTTCTATCACACAAAGGCCAGAAGCATTCCTCCATTTCAACCAACCAACTTGAATTCTACTATTAACATCCCCATCTAAATCACCATCGCTTTGAACAACAGACCAAAAATATCTAAATCGTTCACACATTTTAATAATTTGATCACCCAAAGTTACACTTCTGTCACTAGAGCTACGTCTACTAAAATTACATTCTATGTATTCAGTTTTAGTTCTACTCAAATGAAGGCCTTTAGACTCCAATGCAGACCTCCATAATTTAAGTTTATCCTTGGTTTTTTCTCTCGTTGTATCCACGAGAAGGATATCATCAGCAAAAAGCATACACCAAGGTACATCCTCCAGTAAATAGCATCCACCACAAAATATCCAATAAGACCATCCATATCTAAATCAAAAAGATATGGGCTTTAAGCCTAACCCTGATGTAATCCAACAGAAATAGGAAAGTATTTGATCAATCCTCGTTCAGTTCGAACACAAGTAACAACTCTAGTATACATATCTTTAATGACTTGAATATAAGTCATATCAACATCTGCTCCAAAGGACATCTCTTAAAGGACATCTCTTAGAATCTTATCTTAAGCTTGTCTGAATCAATAAAAATCAAATGTAGATTCTCCTTATTTTCTCAGAACTTCTCCATCAAATCTCTCAATAAATATATAGCTTCCATGGTAGACTTGCCCGACATAAAACCAAATTGATTATGAGAAATCCTTGTAATACATCTTAGCCTATGTTCAATTGCCCTCTCCCATAATTTTAAAGTATGACACATCAACTTAAATCCTCTATAATTTGCACACTCTTGTGCATCCCCTTTATTCTTAAAAATAGGGACCAAAATACTCTTCCTCCACTCCTCAGACATCTTTTTAGTTTTTAAAATAATATTAAAGAGTTTCGTAAGCCAAGAAACTTCTAAATCTCCTAAATATTTCCATACTTCAATGGGGATATCATCAGGTCCTGCTTTTCACCCTTGGTTTTCTTTAAAATCTCATCAACTTCTTTTTTACTAATGTGACAGTAAAAATGAAACGGTTTATTATTATTCCCGAATTATTATTAACGATATGAAGATCACTAAGGTCGATCTTATTTTCAGAAAATTTATTAAAAAGTTTATCAAAATAACTCACCCGCCCATGTTGAATATCTTTTTTTATGAAAAACTCTTTTTGATTTTCATCTATAATACACTTTACTTGGGTTAAATCTTTAATTTTCTTTT